CTATTCCGGATATATCCCTATTCTGCCAGCTCCTCAAGCTGCGTGCTTAATTCTTTCATCTTCGTCGGAGCCATGTGGTGTGGAGGAATGAAAATAGGTGCCATTCCCAGAACCAAATCAATACAGAATTCAATCTCCCGATCTGGCGGTAAACTAGGTAGCTCATTAGGAAATACATCTGTAAACGCATCCACTACAGGGATTCCCGTACTATCTCCAGTTATCTCGGGTTCACCTTCTAGAGCAGGAAGATAAGAAAAACATGCCAAGTTCCTCCGTCTCCCAACGCTGTACTTCAACAGTCGTTCCCCCAGGACTGGGTTCATATCCGTCTGATAAGAAATCACTGTTCCGAAATTCGTTACCAAAGTTACTTTTCTACGGTAGTAATCAACAATCGCACCGTACCTTGACAACCAATCCATTCCGAGTACCACGTCAAACAGGCTCATCAGAAGGACAATCAAATCTGCTCTCAATCGCTCACCGCCAATCGTGATTTCACACGATTTACACACACTCATTACCTCCACACATCCCAGTGGAGAGTTCAAAGTCATCGGGACTTCTAAATTCTCAGATTTCAGTTTCAAAGTCCGTACAAAAGAACTTGATACAAACGAGTGTGTGACACCTGTGTCAAATAACACGTGAGCAAAAGAATGAGAGATCAGAATCATACCCTCAACCACCACGTTGCTGGTCTGACTTCCAGAACTGCCTCCTGCCAAGGCATAAGCTTGTCCCTGTACTTTCCCTTTCCCTCTGTCACCAATATTAGGCCGTTGGGTCGGAGGCCTATACTGTTGTGGTGGAGGTAGTTGTACCGGTCTCGACGCTTGAGGCCGGAATTGTGTAAACAGAGGTGGTTGATAAGTCGGCACATGAGGGTATGGCATCTGTTGTGGCGGATATGGTGGCATATACTGTGGTGGCCCTTCTTGACTGTAGGAAGCGTCACTTTGGGCTTATTGAGCCGGCGGCCGATTAGGACAATTCCTCCTAATGTGACCCACCTGCCCATAATGGTGACACTTAGGCCCGTATGGAGCACTTCTGTCATTTCCTAACGAACTACTGCCACCGCTAACCACTCCCCTACCAGGCTGTCCCTGGTTGCGGTTCCTTCTACCACTCTGTTGTGGCCCGCCGGAAACAGATGGTCCCCTAGAAACTGAAACTCTTCCCACTTGTTCTTTACTCTGGTGATAAGCTATGTTATCCTGCTCCACCCTAGTAGCAACAGCCACCAAATCTCAGAAATTTCAGATTCTCAAAGCCACCAATGGTCTCCTCACAGAGTTCTTGAGGCCCTTTTCAAACTTAAGACATCTAAGGTGTTCAGATTCCACCAAAGATGGTGCGAACCAGGACAGGTCATTAAACTTGGCCTCATACTCCCTTACAGACATGTCACATTGCAGCAGAGACATGAATTCCAGCACTTTTTCATCCCTATAACTCTGAGGGAAGTACTGCTAATTGAATAGTGTCTCAAACTGCTCCCAGGTTAGTCCTGCAACATCTATTCTTCTCTTTACCTATTTCCACCAGGTATTTGCTAAACCCTCCATCTTGTATACCGTAAATTCCACCTAGTATTCATCTGGAACTCCCATAGTAATCAAATGCTTGACTATGTAGTCTAACCAGAACTCTGCTTCCTAGGGTCCTCCATCACTATTAAACGAGGGGATAGGCGCACGCCTAAATTCTCAGAAGTACTCTTGCTTCCTATCCTCAACCGGCCGCTCGTTTTGAGCTCTTGTGGCCATGCCTTGAAAGGCAGCATACATGACATCCAGAAAATCCCTGATTCTGTTGTGCCAGTTGATTTGCTGGCCTACGGCGAGGCGCCATTTCCTTTAACTGAAATAAAACTAGACTATTCAGTGGATCACATATGTCACACATGTATGTACAATCCTGGGGTTTCTTAACCTAGGTCTCTGATACCACTCTTGTCACGCCCACCAAATAGGGTGGGTGACGTGGAGCTCAATTAGGGATTAATAAAGTAGATTCCCAAACGAGCCCCACTCGACTAAATTAAAATATAAATAAATTACAGAATCCCGGAGCCTCTGACACACAAGGCTCCACCCCACAAGACATACAGTATCGTACATACATGTTCATGTAAATAATCATTACAACAGACATCAACCACAGTCTAGTTAATCTAAATATTACATAAGTTTACAGAATTTCTCAAATTCCTTACATTTTATTCCAGAGGATGGCCACAATCCTCACTTGATTCCAACAGCAGCACAACTCAGCTGCTCTGTAGCAAATATCCAGCTACTGTGCACCGCTCTTAGAGTCTTCTGGGAGGGGTTTAATACATTTGAAACATAAAACGTGAGCGAAAGGCCCAGTAGGATATAATTTCAAATGACTTAAAATAAATGAATAAATAAATGAGCGAGTAAATAAATGAATGAATAAGTAAATAAAATTAGACATTCAGTCCCGACAGAACAGCCGGAACCTCACATCTTTTTTCTCAAAGGAAATATAACTGAAAATAACTGTTTTACAGGCTTCAGCAAGTAATTAGTACAAATTAATTACCTAACTAATTACCTCCCTTACCCAGACCGAATTTCGCGTTCTGCCCCCGAGGATGCACTCTTCGCATCCTATTTAGGCTTACAACAATAGACTCTATTACCGGTTCACAAGATCTCTTTATTAAGAAATCATTCATTAACATTCTGAAATCGTTAACATGATCTCACAAACTACTCAAGCCGCGGGCCCCATGACTGGGCAAGCCATGAGGTTCCATGACTAATCAAGCCATGGTTTTCAAAGCGTTTTTCTTTCACAAACCAATCCCTTTCTTTAAAACATTTTCAATGCCAAATCTTCTTTTAAAAACAGGCTCACAAGGAAAAGGGATAGAAATCCTACCTCGCACAATCAAACTTGGGACTAGCGTTGCCTTTTCTGGCTTCCGCTTCCTCAAGCCCCTTCAGTCAGAATCCTCAGCGATCACTGATGCAAGACAACACTTTAGGATCAATTCTCATTCCTAAAGCAATCCAGATCTCACTAATGTACCAAGATTTTCAATTAGTGTGCCCTAATCCATTTTCATGTTTCAAATTATCATTCCAAGGGTTTTCAATCCCAAATCAAGGATTAAAAATGCTAATCCATTTATCTCAAGTCCCCAAATGAAGCTAATTTGGGTTCTCCGCGAAAACAGGGGTCAAAACAACATTTTCAAGCCAAACAGGGTCAAACCCGTGTGCACCGGTCGACCAGTGACAGAGCAGTGCAACACTACCGGTCGACCGGTAGTGTGCACACCGGTCGACCGGTCAACCTGCAATCCGGTCGACCGCATAGGTCGACCGGTTTCCATGTGATCCGGTCGACCGCACAGGTTGACCGGTGGAATCAGCTGCGCGAGAGAAGCTCACGGAAATCAGTCCAAAAACCTACAAATCTAGTCCCAAATTGAAATATTTTAAAGGGAAACCACTAGATATGGGTTCTAGGTCCTAAAACAAGTCCAAAGAACCCAAGATATCCAATTTCTACTATAGTTTTACTCAAAAACCATCAAAATCCGGTTTGAACCAAAAATAAGTTTTGAAATTTAAAAACTTGAGATTCAAGAGAGGTTCTTTCAGTAATCTTACCTCGAATCCTTCTCTTGACGTTGAAAACTTCTTTAAATCTTTCCTTGGTTCAAGATCCGTTTGATTTGGGACAAAAATGGGAGAAAGAGAGAGTGGGAGAGAGCACGGGAGAGTGAGAGAGAGAGAGTGAGGGAAGTGAGAGAGAGAGAGATGCACGGGAAAGAGAAGGAAAATAAGAAAAGAAAAAGAAAAAGAAAAAAAAAAATGGACAAGTTTCAGTATTTTAAAAGAGCAGTCCAGAAATGCGCCCATACACACTTCTGGGTTAAAATAAATTACTGAGAATAATTTAAATACCTTGGAACTATTTAAACTCACACGTGTCAGAAACATTTATTAATTAATAATCAAGATTAAGCACACTAATAATCTCAATTATCTTAATTAATCTCAATTAATTTTTTAAGGTGTTACAAATAGACTTCTCACGTTATTGTTCACATATTTTGGTCGTTTTGATTATTTATTTATTTTATTTTTGAATAATTGTTATTTAATTTCTTATTACTAATTATTTAATTATTAACCAATTGCATAATCAATACGTAAGTATTCTTTGATTAATAATTAACTATAATTTATTAATAGGTTAAAAATTAATTATTAAATTCATTTTTCGTTTTAATGATTAGCAATTAGCACACATTGGGCCCCCACAATCCATCGGTCCAGTGATTTGCGCTGTCCCGGTGTGTGAGAGCCTCTTGGGTGCAAATTCTTACTCATAGCCAATAGAACAAATCCTTATTGTCTTTTGCTCGCAACCCCCGCAAGCCATCACCTAGCTCCTACATTGTCTTTAACAAATAAGTTCGTGGTCCACACAAGTTTAAACCGTTAAAAAATTTTCCTTAACAGAAAAGTATCAAAATTATAACTTTTAATAAATTTGAGATCAATTTCCCATCAATTTAAATTACAGGGGCCAAAGTAAGATAAGTCCTATTTTTTGGGGTCAAATTTCAAATTTAAAAGTAACTTTAATAATGGCTCCATTTAGTAGAGCTTTTAGGAAGCTAAAATCACTTTTTTTTTTTTAGCGGAAGTTAAAAAAGTGTTTGGTAAACACATAAATACAGATTTTGAAGGAATCTAAAAGTTATTTTTTAGCTGAAATCAGAAGCAGCGAGTTGCTTCTGATTTCAGATTGTGCGGAATCTGAAGGGTTTCATTAATGAAATTTTGGTTATTCTCAAAATAACCCTGAAAACTTATCATTCTGAAACTCTCTTCGTGCTCTCTGCCTCAGCCGCACCTGAAACTCTCAACCTCTCAGCCTCCTCTCGTGCTCTCTTGCCTCGGCCTCTCTCAGCCTCAGCCTTCGCTCTCTCAGCCAAAGCTCTCTCCCTCCGTTTATCTTTCTTCTCTCTCGGACTCTCTCTCTCCGTTTATCTCCTGCGATTGTCGGCGACGGAGTCCCCAAAATCTCTGTTCATCGCTGGCTGAGACCGAATCTGGTTGGAGCTCACAATCTTGAATCTTACTTAATTTTTTAGAAAAGTCTCGGGGATTTATTAGGATTTTTGGTTTAATTTTCTGTTTTTGCTTCGATTCCGAGCACGTTAAGAAGTTCTTCGAGTTTCTTTTTCGTTTGGTTGAGTTTCTCTTTTTAATTTTCCTTTTTGAAGTTTCGATTTTCTTGAACCATCAAGAGCCTTAGTTCATTATTATAATCGTATTTCTGCAAAACATACGATCTGTTGACTGTGATTCTTTTTAGCTTTTCAGGACTGTAATGCATATTTCTTTTCTGTTGTTTCTTCTGTAATATAATAACCACTTTCTCATGCATTCAATATTATAGTCTTGTTTGATCGTTCTGGGTTGTAATTAACTTGTAATGATAACTTCTGTAAATTTAGTTCATGGGTGAATTTAGTTCTTTCTCTGATGGGAATTTGATATATTAGATCTGTTGGTTGTAGATTCTTCTTTTATATATATATGAGAAAAAATAGAAATGGGCTTTTATTCTTGTTTGATTGATTGGTTTTCTTCATATATTCTATATTAACAAATGTAATCTATCTTTGTTACAGAAGTACATGAAGCATTACTATGATGTTGAACTCATTTCTTGACTCTTCTTTTTCTTGTCGCACATTGATATGTTTTTCTTCTTTTTTTAACTCCTGGATTTTCAATTTCTTTAAGTTCTTTAAAAGTGAACAAGTTAAATCTGACCATATTAGTTACATAATATAACTGAGTAGAAAAAAGATTGGAACGGAAGGAAAACGATTTGAGAGAATTGACAAAGTTTGTAAAAGTAAGATAATTAACTGGTTGAGTTCTTCACTTATTTCATACAGCTATTCCAACTGTTGTCATGATTTCTGAGATTCTAAAACGCAATGGACTGGCAATTCAAAAGAGTAAGTAGTCGAATACTTCTTACTTATTTGCATCATTTAAACATTTATTTTCCTCCTGTCTAATGTAATATGGTTGTTGTCGTTTGGGAAATGCGACAGACATAAGCACATCCACTGTTGCTAAATCCAAGGACGAAAAGAAAGGCCGGATGATTATGAAGGCTCAGATTGCTATTTTGTGAACTTTAATATTATAAATTGGAAATTCCCTTTTCATTTGTTTTGCTATAAAATTGAAACTTTTCTGATTTTTCTCGCCTTTGATTCTTGTAGATTGAGACTCTGCTTGGGCAAGCTGATAAGCTGAAGGAGAGCTCGGCTGTTACTGCAACATCAAACTAAGAAGAATGCTGATTTACTAGCTTCAGATTTTTAGCAGAAACCAACAGGAGTTATAATTCTGGGATCAAAAAGTTTCTGATTTTCTGTTTCCTTGTAAAATTTGAATGCGAATTGGAGATGCTATTAGTAGTATAGTCAAGTGAATTAGACTAGAGTAGACATTCTGATAGAACAAATGTCCTTCTTAGTGCTGCCATTTCTGTTCTGATCGGAGTAGACATTCTGGGATCAAAGTTTCTGAAGTCTGTTTCTGCCATTTTTAGTTGCCACGATAGTACATAAATAAATACCAAGTTCTTTTCACCTCTCTCTCTCTCTCTCATGTTCACTGAAATTCAATTTTGAACAGCAAATAAGCACAAGAATACGCACAGAATGAGACTGCAAATATGTTTTCCAATTTTGTTTCAATGCCAATGAGAAAGAAAATGACTTTATTTAAATTATTCACACAGAAAGGATTTTATTCAGACTGCCTACAAAAGGTCTGTTTCTAGTTTAATTACAGGGGGTGCTTCATTGGATTGACAACTTGACAAGGGAAAGTGCTAAGACCTTAACCCCATTAGATATGTCATCAATGGAGGAAAATTCTTCAGGCTTATGGCTGTAACCTGCAAAACCAAGTTAGTGTTAATTAAGAGGCATTTTCAAATTGTGGATTGTAGTAAGGGAGAAAGGTCAAACTTTTGTAGCATGGAATGAATATCATACCCATAGGAGATACTCTGCAAAAGTGAAAAACAATTATCAGCTCATTTTTGTAATCAAAATGAATGAAAGGCATTGGCTTAATTAGTATTAACCAATCTTTGTTCATAGCATAACATACTTAGAAGCCTTTCATAGAGGGGCAATAAGCAGAAAGAGCAGAACTAAGAGTAATAACATCGAAGTTTCTTGCAGATTTTTGAGAGAACTCCACCAAAATTGATAATTATAATATTTGGTTGCGTTAACAAGATTGATAATTTATCATTATGTTATTTTTAGTTATAATTATATTGTGAATGAAGAAATGAAAAAAAAGAGAATTAATTATCATAAATTTATTGTTAAAAAATTTAAAATCATAACATTATGTTTTTTTTTTTAAGTTAAACAATTATTTTTAAATACTAAAAACAATTATATATATTTAAATTTCATATTATGTTTATTTTAGTCATTTTATATACTCACAGTAATTCTACCTCAAAATTTATTAAACGCTATTTACTAATTTTAAAATCAACATAATTACTATAATTATAATTTATCAAATACTCAGCTGTTTCAAGAAACAACTGCTTTTTCTTTGAGCACAGCCAAAGCACTTGTTTTTAAATCCAATGAACTAAGCCAATATATCTTATTCCTCGTTGCCTTCTTCAATATGTCAGTTCTGATCCGAAGGCCAAAGCTCCGTCGGAAGAATACCATCTCCACCGTTTCCAGCCTCTCCGATATCTGAGCCGCCTCTACAACCACAAACGTATGTATCTATCTTAAGGCCTAAAAGTTTTTCCAGACATTGAGTTTTTCAACTTCTGATTGCCTAGATCAGGATTTCCGATTAAGTTTTTTTTTTTTTTTTTTTTTCAATTTAACAAATCCATGGGTTTAGGGACTAGAATTAACGGATAAATCATCTTTTTGTTCTTACGGAATTTGGTTTTGAATTTTTAAGTTTGTAGAAAACTTTTCATGGATTATTCTTGTTGGAAATTCTTTCTTTCTTTCTTGTTCTGTTATTTTTTATTATTTTTTTTCTCTTTGGCTGTTTATGATGCGAAAGTTTTGAGATTATTATTGGAATTAGCTTGGCTGATGCTATATTATCTTCATGTTTGTGAAGCATATTTCGTCTTCTCAGAATATCGTTCTTTTACTGAGAAATATTTCGTTTCTAAAAACAAAAACAATGGCTGTAAATTCATCTGTTTTTTTTTTTTTTTAATAGTGTGTTACGATGATTGGGTTTTTGATGAACAACGGTAATTGGGGGCCAATGCAAGGTGGAGAACCCGCCATGGACGCCATCGATTGGAGAGCTCGAATACAATCAGATTCACGACTAAGAATCGTCAATAAGATGTATGTGTCTTCTGAATATCCATACACACATACATACATACATACATACATATAATATTCAAATAGAACATATTTAGATTCTGTCGGATAAGATTTATTAGTTTCATGATTCACTAGCTTAGTAGTGTGGGGTTATAAAACCTCAAGAAATTAGAAGTAATAGATATAAAGCAGTGGAATTAGAAAACTACCTTTTATTAGTGGTTGCTCATCGTATTGCAGAATAAACGATGCAACTATAGTGTTTGATAAAAAGTATACCTTTGTACATAAATCAATGAACTTTTTAAATTATTTAATATGTGTAGCTTTTAGATTCTACTTTTGCTTCTATTTTTGCTTTAAGTAAAAGTAGTGTTTCTATTAAAAGCACAGCAATTATTTTAAAAGTACAACAACCCTAAACTGACCCTAAGTTTGAGTTTCTTCTTAGGGTTTATATATTAAAAAGTTAATTCCAAATTTGGCCTCTCACTTTGCCACCTACAACTCAAAATAGCACAAAATTAGACCTAGAGCTTTGATAAATTACAACTTTAATACTTCTGTCACTGAAAGGTTAATTATTTTTACGGTTTAATTACGTGTGAATTGACTCGTGAGTCGTGACTGTTTGATAAAGAGCACGTGTTAATTTTGTTTTTTTGCTTTTAAAGAAAACTCACAACTTACCAACTTCACTAACGTAATGATTTGGTAAATGTGAAGAACGGATACATTAAAGAAACATCTCTCTTTCTCTCGTCAAGAGGGATTGCATGAACTCAAGAAAATAGCCGAAAGGTTTGAGGAGAAGATTTACACTGCCGCCACAAGCCAGGTACTTCCATATTAATGTGTCCCCCTCGTCTTTCCCCTTTTTCAGATGATATGTACGGGATTGCTTCATTCCCACACACATTTAATGCTGTTTGTCTACTTGCACATTTTCGGGAAAGATTTGTGTTTATAACTTGTTTTGTGTTGTTTTCTCATTGATTTTGTTCCAGTCCGACTATTTAAGGAAAATTTCGTTGAAGATGTTGGCAATGAAGACTAGTCTCAGAACTCCATACCCCATTCTTTACCAACCAACAACCTCAACGGCGTTATTTGATACGATTGTTTCTAATTTCACCTTTTCCCTAAGTTTATGCTTTCTGACATAAAGTATGGTCAAGCTTATTTTCACATATACAGCTTTCTCTTGGTAAAAAGATCATGTATCATTCTTGTGACATTTTGGAATCTAAAAATATAAAAAACTATACATATTGAACGCAGGTTAAATAAACTGCCTTATTTTATTAATTGAATGAAAGTACACTTAAATAGACTATGGTTTGAATACCGAGTCTATTATCTTCTCCTAGATTTACGGCAGAAAGATTGCTACTAGCTAATCTACTCCTATTTGAATTTAAATACTAACTGATAACTCCTAATCCCTATAATCGGAAATAATAAACTAAATAAAAGATTATTTAACTTATTCAAACTCTCTAAAAAAGATCTTATCTGCTAACACATATGCATTTGGATTTGGAGGCATGTATCATTGATTTAGGAATTAAGACAAAAATTATTTTGACATTTATAACCTTATATTGTGAATCCAGTTTTTTAATTCGATGTTGGGCTAGCTGAGCTTTTTTATTACTACCTTTAGAAGCTAATTCTCATATAATTTTACGTGCACCTTTTTTATTTTTTTTACTTTTCCTTTTGCATCATCTCTAGATTCAACAACTCAGACAGGACATGGACGGTTAGAGAGATTGTAATATATCTTGATCAAGATCACAAGTTGTTTGAGTGTTAAAAACATGAAAAACTCATGTTAAAGGGACTTCAAAAGTGCTGCAGCAAGTTTATAAACGTTGCAGTGGACAAACTGCACAAAACTGTGCAGTTTGGTTCGACCAAACTGGCTGCAACCGAAATATTTTGGCTGCAGCGAAATATTTACGCTGCAGTGGAAATGTTTGCGCTGCAGCGGAAAATTTCACGCTGTAGTGCCCTTGTGTAGGCCTCTCGGGTCTCTTTGCGCGCTGCAAAGGTAAAACACCCGTTGCAGTGGAAATTCTGTAGAAAAACAGTGTTTTCATGAGTTTATGTGATCTGAAACGTTTCGAACTATTATATCCATTGGTGATATGTTTTCATACATATCTAAAACACCAATTAGTAATAGATATAACTATTATAATAGGTGTATTAATCCATGAAAATATACATTTATATTGAAAATGTACCTTTATATGAATGGTTATAATGTTTAAAGATGATGTATTCATTCATGAAATGACACATCTGTTTTTATTAATTCTCCAGAAAATTTACAGACTGTATTGAATGTTTTGGTGGCCTTTCTAAATGGTGATCTTGATGAGGAAATCTGTATGGAACAACCCGAAGAGTTCGTATTGCCTGGAAATGAGAAGAATGTTTGCAAGTTAGTCAAGTCGCTTTATGGTTTAAAGCAAGCACCAAAATAGTGGCATGATAAATTTGATAATGTCATTTTATCTAATGATTTTAAGCATAATAATGCGGATAAATGCATATACTTTAAATTTATAAATAATTTTTGTGTGATTATATATTTATATGTTGATGACTTGTTTATCTTTGGAACAAACATGCAAGGGGTAAATGATATCAAGAAGTATCTAACTTCACAATTTAAGATGAAAGATCTTGGTGATGTAGATATTATTTTAGGTGTAAAAGTGAGAAAACATAGTAGAAGTTACTCGTTGTGTCAATCTCATTATATTGAGAATGTGCTTCTTAAATTCAATCATTTGAAGTTTAAAGAAGCGAATACTCCATATGATTTTAGTATTAAATTACTAGATAATGCAGGCCGAGCGGTGACACAGCTTGAATATGCTAGTGCGATTGGTAGCTTGATGTACGCCATGCATTGTACAAGACCCGACATAGCATTTGCGGTATGCAAAATGTCTAGGTTCACGAGTAATCCGTGTATTGAACATTGAAATGCAATTGGTAGAGTACTTGGTTATCTTAAAAGAACCATTAATTTGATTGTCATATAATGACTATCCGACAGTACTTGAAGGATACTCGGATGCAAGTTGGATAACAAGTGCAAGTGATAACAAATCCACATCCGGTTGGATTTTCACAATTGCGGCAGGAGCCGTCTCTTGGGCTTCTAGGAAACAAACGTGCATAACTCATTCTACGATGGAGAGTGAGTTTATAGCACTTGCAACTGCGGACAAAGAAACGGAATAACTGAGAAATCTATTATTTGATATTTAGTTGTGGCCACAACTAATGCCATCTATTTCTTTGTGCTGCGATGGTGAAGTATTTTGTCTAGAGCTTATAACAAAGTTTATAATGAGAAATCTAGACATTAGCTTAAGACATGAATGTGTGAAACAATTGATAACCGATGGTATTATCAATATTGTTTATGTTAGGATAAACAAGAACCTAGCAGATTCTTGACGAAAGGTCTTTCAATAGACTTAGTCAAAGAAACATCTAGTAGAATGAGGTTAAAACCTTTCTTTGAAAGAGTCACCGATGATAGTAACCCAATTATGTAGTAGTTATACCACTATTCTATAGTTAAATGGGTAATAATAAGTCATTGTTATGTGACCGACTTAGCACCGAAATTTAATTAGTCACTTCCAAGATGTCGGTGTAACATAGCTACGTGGTTGAGGTTGAGTTTATACTCTTAATAAAATTCGAGTCTTATAGTAGCTAGAGATATAATTCGAAACTTCACCTAAGTGAACATAATGAATGGTGTCGTTCCTAACAAGACTGTGATTTAGTCTTGTAAATGTTCATGAATCCAAGATAGAGCATAAGGCCGGAATAGTGCTAAACGATTAGAACAAATTTTTAAGTCTGAGATAACACATATGTGATATATTTCCGATATTTGCTTAAGAGACAAAGTTTAATGCAAAGCACACTGTTGTCTTGTAAATACTTTGAAGTATAGTCACTAATTGAAGGTTAAAATCGAAAGATACCTTCATGTATGTGTTTATTTATCGTTGTTAATTATGAATAAATATTACAATATAGTGGGGGATTGTTAGAGAGATTGTAATATGTCTTGATCAAGATCACAAGTTGTTAGTGTTAAAATATGAAAAACTCGTGTTAAAGGGACTTCAAAAGCGCTGCAACGGGTTTATAAACGCTGCAGCGGACAAACTGCACAAAACTGTGCAGTTTGGTTTGGCCAAACTGGCTGCAACCGAAATATTTTGGTTGCAGCTGAAATATTTGCGCTGCAGTGGAAACCTTCGTGCTGCAATGCCCTTGTGCAGGCCTCTCGGGTCTATTTCCGCGCTGCAACGGTAAAACACCCGCTGCAGTGAAAATTCTGCAGAAAAACAGTGTTTTCATGAGTTTATGTTATTTGAAACGTTTCGAACCATTATATCCATTGATGATATGTTTTCATACATATTTGAACACCAATTAGCAATGAATATAACTATTGTAATAAGTGTATTAATCCATGAAAAGATACATTTACATTGAAAATGTACCTTTATGTGAATGGTTGTAATGTTTAAAGAAAATGCATTCATTCATGAAATTGTACATTTGTCTTTATTAATTCTCCAGAAAATTTATAAACTGTATTGAATGTTCTGGAACTCAATATTATTGCTAGATATTGTGTTCAGAGGTTTGTTATATCTTGGGAGTACTTTGCTATTAAAACTCATTAACAAATTCTATACGGTCAAACTCTTTTTTATTTTTTTGCATTCTTTTCACCCTTTACACTCAAATTCTCCAACATGGACATGCAAATGTTGGTGACTGGTAGGAGGATGTCTATCAGATGTTGCGAGTCATGACTTTCTCATTACACTGAAGTTCACATAAGAAAGCAAGGATAGCTGTTATGGAAACGACCAAGAAAGAGAGAATCGCGGTGATAAACAATAAAGGCACATACTAATTTGTATTAGCGCAAGGGATAAACATTTGAGTAATCGACAAAGTTGAAGCTGTATGCTTTTATTCCCTAAAAGCATTTAGTTGCCGCAACTTTATTTTCTAAATTATTGGACGTGAAGAAAATGTTAGGGCTTAACTAGCTTTTTTCTGAGGTTTGTCTGCAGATCAAAGCAATGAAGGTTTGTCTGCAGATTGTAAATTTTACCAACACAAGTAGACCCAGGCAGCCTGTCTCTCAACTGTTGCAAGGACAGGTTCCCTTATCTTATATGCAGACCGTGTGATGCGGACCAATAAGATTCAATTTGAATATAATTTTTTATAATTATTTATTCATTAGGATATGTTTTATCGTTTATATTTAATTTTAGATAATTAGGATCGTGTTTACCTCATAGGATTATTTTGAATTTAGCGTAAGTTTTTCACCCAAAAAAAAAATTTATCTTATTGGTTTTAGATATTGTAATTTCATTGAAGACTTTTTTTTAAAGAAAAAAAAATATTTTATTAATCAACAAAACATGAAGCTTACAGAAAACTCAATACAAAAAACTTGATATGTCAAATTAAAATCGGTAGATCTATTGGCGTCCTAATATGAGGATCTAAGGTCTGATGAACATAATTTGGAGCACTTTCTGGGCTCTTTAATTCTACCTCCACAATTGGCTCTTCCGAAGGAGTTGTAACAAATTTTTTGTAAAGATCGATCTCTAAAAGCCGGTATTCTTCCATATCAAACTTGTCAAAGCAGGAGACTTGGCTAAAAGCATACATAAGATAAAAACCAACACAAAACCCACACAAGGTTAGGATTTGGTGGGAGAACACAACCAAAAACAATAAAAACAACTAAAATCCACGTAGATTTAGAGGTTTGTGGGGGAAATAAACACCACATAATGACCGTCTTTATTCAACTTATGACTAATAAAAGAGAAAAAAATACCAACACGGACTCTACCATCGTGTAGATCAGTCGACGTAGAGTGCATGAGTGTATTTTGGGGGTCAGTTGATCGAAGACGTGCTTCTGGTAGCCGGCTAGACTGTTCTCTTTCTTTCCCATTTTCTCTCTCTCTCTAGAAACCCTGTCTATATTTTAAAAAGGTAATTATTCATCGGGCCATTTACATAAATGTACTACTTGGGGCATTATGAATCTAAAAATGTCTATCTATATATTTATTCACAAAACTATCCACTAGCATACATACAAAAACGCTTATATCCTGAAAAAGGAAAAAAATAATGAAACATCAAAATAGGAAAGTTTTCAAAATAAATCATAATTTTATTTTGAATATAAAAGTCAAATGAAATCTTGAATATTACATTTAATGAAGTTGCCTTATTAAATAAAGGAAACGTTTCACAAAAAAAAAAATAATAATAATAATAACAAAAGCATCACATAATTTACGCCCTTCCATCCTCCCTTCACCGTCCTACATAAACGGCAACAACGCAAAATTACGAGAATATATAAAAGAATATGCATTTTCATTAACATAATGATAATATCATTATGAAATAGATCTTGTAAAACATAAAAAAACACGAAATGTATTTAAGAATAATTATTTTTATTACTTTAATAGAGATATCATTATAAAACATACGGAATATAAAGTTTATAAGAAATTTAAAATAATAATAATACATGAAGTATGAACTCATAAAGAAAGATATTTCATTACTGTAATAACAATAATATCATTACATACATGAATGAATATAATCGTTTGCAACAAAATAGCAATCATTCCGGTAAGTTCTTAAAATATGGAAGATTAGAAATGTGGTAAATTAATCTTCATTATCAAAATGAATATTATAAGTAAAATATGAAGAAACACAATAATGTACAAATGAATATGCATTATCATAACATAATGAATGATAATATCATTATGAAATAGAATTTGTAATGCGTAAGAAACACGAAAATGTACTCAACATAACTAGCATTTTTATTATTTTAACAGAGTTAGAGGTAAAAATCTAAACTCGTGTCCTCTAAGAATATTTGTCTCATTTCTCCGTATTTCTATTGTGAGATGAAAAGTAATTGTTAACTTAAAATACGGGGGTAAAAAATTAAGTTATTTCAACAATCAATCTTCTCATCTCCTTTCTCTCTGGCCTCTAGTGGTAAGCAAATAAAAACGTGAGAAAATTTTATATTGGTACCATGTGTTATAACGTAATTATCTTTTAGTACTTTATGTTTTTAATAATTTTAAATTGGTATCCTAACCTTTTAAAAAAATATTTTTTAATACCCTAAATCTCTTTTTTAGGACATAAAATATCAAATATGCCCTTATACAAAAACCCACCTATGTTGACCAAAAACGATTTTTTTAGAGGAAAGCCCTATATATCCTTGTTTCCAGACACCTTTAAAAGTAGATTCCTTTTAACATGCTGCAATTTACCCCCTTGAATTGCACTGGTGCCCTCTAAACTTATCACATGCTGCAATTCACCCCCTTGAACTTTTTGTTTTGGTAATTTGCCCTTAAAATTTATAATGTGTAGGAAACCACCCCTAATTGATAACTGTATCAATTTTTTGATAGAAATTGACATGTGATTTGTATATGAGCTATTAATCAAGAGTATCAAATGCTGTTGTTATTATTATTGTTACTATTAATATTAATGTGATCCAAATTTATATTTAAAACAAAATTAATTCAAAATATTTTAAATTTCAATAAAGCTTAATTAAAGATTTTGGCCCCAATAAATTTGGATTAATAGAGACAAAAATGACTATTCGTGCCATTAATTAACAAGTACTGTGCAAGTCTCGTTCAATATCCCATAAAAAAATTAACATTGTTATCAATGAGTTGTTTGTTACACGTTTGTAAACTGAAGTGTAAATTTCCGAAATTAAAGATTCAGGGGATAAATTGTAACTGTGCGATAAATTCATGGGATAACAATGCAAGAAAACATTAAAAAAAAATGGGAGAAAGAAGTAAAGAGAATTCTACAATGAATAATTGAACTAAATAGCAGGTCTTATAAATATGTGGAGTAAATAGCAAATTTACAACATAAATCATTTTTAAAAACTTGCGAATATTTTAAAAGTTTGCTATTTACTTTAGTTTTGTAAAAATGTTACTACAAGTTTTTGTTGTTCTTATTGGGGTCTATTTAAGAGAATTTTTGTTTTTGCTTTTAGTCAGTAAAAGAAGAGAAGTAAATGTTATGATTTTCTAATATGTCTTATTGAAACTCTAATACAAATTTTAAAATCTATTAAGAAGAGTTTTTTTTTTAGTCATATTTTGTGCTTTTAACTCGAATCTCTTTTGTAGAGCTACATGTCTTCCATCATCCAAATGCTTTTTAAAAGTAAGTTTTGGACCAAAAATAGCTTCCGCGGAGCTTTATTAAATAGACCCTTATTCGGATAAATCATTCCTTATTTCACCAACAGGATAAAATATAGCAAAACAAAAAATGTAATTCATAATGACGCAAAGGAACAAAGCACTGAAGTGAGGGCATCTCTGGAATATTTGAATGCTTCTCACATTAAAGTTGTTCGACGGATTATGTACACAATAAACAAGCTAGTTCTAAATGTTATGGTCACCTTTCCCCCTTCACGTTAAGCCTAAACATCTCATTGAGAACTTAAATTTTGAGCCATTACCAAAATTTGGAAGTGCCGTTTACCCAACCACGGCAAGCAAACTTTGCCTAATTGCTGGAATTGAGCAGAGCACAGAGCCAAAAATACCATTCAGCGCATACGCAATTGCGCAGAATGGGAGAGCCTCGGGTTCCTTCGCTGACAAGGCAGCTGTCCCCAACCCATGAGCACTGCAACAATTAAATGAATAACAAGAAGAAGAAGAAGAAGAAGAAGCAAGCATTAATCCATAATTGACATGAGCAGAAAAGCAAGTAAGAAGCAAGCATTACTCCATAATTGACATGAGCAGAAAAGCAAGTAAGCCGTATAGCATAGTTTTCCTGTAGTCATTAGAATAATGCAATAGTCTGAACCTGTAACTAACCAACTCTAGTTGAAAGCGAGCTAGAAGTGTGCGCGCGCACATGCATACATGTATTTGTCTATGTATATGCATATGTATATGTGTGCATATATTATGGAAAGTCTTATGTGTGTACATCATCAAGCAAGGGAAAACGAAGCTATAAAAGGTTTTCAAAGGTGGAATTTGTATTAACTTGAAAAAGATGTATACCTAGAAGCAGTTGCTATTCCTCGAGCGATAGGATCACGAAACCGTAGCTTATCTAGGGTCGCTTGCACAAAATTTGCTCCAACAAGACCAGTTACTACGACTACCGCCGCTGTAAGCGATGAATTGGTACCTGCATTAAGAATTTTCATAGATAGTGAGATGAATAGAGCTAAATCTAAAGATACTAGTTCAAAGGTGGAGTTTTCAAGGTGGCTCAAGGATATATATAGCAGTGTCAGAAGACTTAAGGGATTCAAGTGAATGAAACGAAAATGAGTAGACATAGATCAAGACTAACAAAATTTAGAACAATAATGACCATAAATAAATAAATAAAGAGCTACCAAAACAAAATTTAGCACTATGAGGATCCGACGCTGGTCACATGATTGTCATGATAAGTTTTGCTTATCTGCAATTGTGGTAAATGTAAAAATTTGTCTGTCGTACCTTCAAATAAAGAAACAATGCTCAGAGCCAACGCCACAGTTATACATCTGGGTAGAATTGACACAGTCAAGCTTGGTTCTAACCCAACCAGACGCCCAACAAGAGCGAAACGAGAATATCGTCGAAACAATGACGGACGTGAAGATCTCAGCTGCATGCCTCTTAATCAGCTGAAAATGTGTTCAACAGCAATAACCGTTTATGAGAATAATGATTTCCAAAATAAATTTAGAGGATTTTTAAAGTGGTTAACGCAAAATAAATAGACATAGGAGTTATTAACTTGGGTAAATTACATGCTCATTAATTGCATAATATCAACAAATTATTACTGCAAGAGTGAAAGGTGAAAACCAATAATTATACTTATCTAAGTGCTCGTATCTTTTAGTAAAATTTAAAAAAAAAAAAAAAAAAAGTGCCTACATTTCTTCAGTGATAAACAACCTGTCCTGATGTCCAAGCAGTGATTTTGGATTACCACATTGTCGATGCCAATCTTTCGTTCTTTGGATTTTAAAAAGAAAAAATGTAGGAATGGAGGATTGAAAGATTCTTTACTACAAGAACATGCCTAGCTACTAAAAATGGAAAATAAAATAGTTCAGAACTAGAGTAGACATGAAAGGTCTAAAATTTTATGGTTTAGCTAATCTACACAAGTTATGTTGAGGAAAGAACTTTTTTCTCATTACTTATTTATTGTTTTCAAGAACACAAAAAAATAAAAAATAAAAAATTTTGAGACGGGTGACTTATTTTGAGATCTCTTGTTGCCTATTCTCTACTATTGCTAGATTCCTGAGTGACTTATTTTGGATACCATGTAAAAGGAAATAGAAAGTTTGCATAACAATTGCACAGTTTACGCTAAATAGTTGGTTTTTATATGATGAAAGAATTATCCTTGTAAAAATCCATCAAATCCCCTGGACTTGGCACAGCTTAAGACACTGACACGAAAGTAAAATACTGTAACCGTAATTGCTTTGTGGGACTTTGTTCATCCAGTAGGAGTTATGGTTAAGTACCTTTCTCTGCTTAAACATGGAGAAGGCAAACGAGAGAATTACAGAACCCAAAAATCCCATCAGCACATCTCCAGCTCCAGGATTAGATGAAGCCTTTGTTAGGTAGTATCCTGTGTATTCAAAAGTAAAAGTTATGCAAGTTGTGGATGAGAGAACGGTCTCTTCCGTTATCTCTTTATAGGCATGCGCATGGTACTCCTATGTGCAAAGACTTGCACCATCATTTCGTTTCCTACTCACAATATAGACTAAAAGAATATGAGATACTTTCAATTGCCGTATCCATAACAAGTAAACTTTTTGAGGGTAAATATTAATTCTTCTCCCAATCTTCCTAATTATGCGTTCCGTTTTGTTGATTGGTGGTGTCTCAAGCTTTCCCTTCTATGTAGTACATTAGAGAGTGCCAATATACTAAAACAGACTGCTATAGAAAGAGAAATGAAGAATCCAAAAGCTAGCTTATGGTTGTCCAAGTAGTAGGACCAGAAATTTTTATACTTTGAACTACACTTATGTTGGTAAGCAAACATAGAATGATAACAGTGGAAACTAGAGCGTGCCATACCTAGAACAGAATTGAGTCCAGATCGTGAAAGGTACCCGAAAGCCAATGCTGTGAGGTCAGCAGATAATGCACAGCATATAATTGGATGAAACACCTTCTTTATACCTGATGGTAACCTGAAAATAGGAATCAAAATGTAAGTGAGACAAAGAAAGAAAGAAAAATCTGAAATCTTGATTAACTTGAATAAAAAGGAAATGATTATATTATTTACAAAGGAAAATCGTTATTGAAAGAAGTTGTAATGCCAAAGAGAAAAAACTGGTAATTTACCCAGAACCAACCATGTAGCCTAGCACGGTGGAAGCAAGAAGGAATGGAAGGCATGTTCGAGCACCTGTTCCGAGCACTGTAGGGTATAGTAATGCAGAAACAAATGATATGACCAAAATCCCACTCCATGACCATATTTCCAAAGCCGAAAAGGGAGAGGGTTTTGCCATAGGTTCAGCATCAACCATTTCTGTTTTTACCAGTTTTCTTACAGCTATTGCTGTAAATCCCGCAATGCAAAGTGTAGCCAGCCATCCTCCAACTGCAGCAAGGCGATAAAGATTAACATGTGATTGATAATGATAAAAAAACAAAAAAAAAGGCATCAAATTGTGAAAAAATGAGTCTTCTTTGTTTTTTTCTTTTTTTTTTTTTTCCCCCTAAATTCTTTGATGAGCTAGCATGAACTGTATATTTGTAGATATTAAAAAGAGATCTATATTTGAGGTAGTATACCTTGCAAATTCACAACTTAAAAATTAATGTTTATCATACTTACAAAATCTGTGACAACTGTTGCAAGATGGTTTAACACTGAGACTTGCTTCTCTAATAAAATATAATCATCCTAAAAGTACACAATTAGCGGCAATAAAAGTATTGACACTCTTTGATAAAAGTAGTTTAATCAAGAAAAAAAACCAGAACCCGGCTGATTAAGTTACCTGTGATGTAGCAAATTTTGATGCCGGAAGCCGCTGGAATATCTTTGACAGAAAGTGGCAAAACAACCAAAGATGGAACATAATATAATGGCAGCCATCTCTGGATAAACAAAAGCGCTGGCTCAAAAAAATCCATGACGCGTTTTGCTGCTGCTGGGACAGTGGAATCAAGAATCACAAGAACAGAGAAAATACAGAACATCCCAAAAAGTGCACTTGGGAACTTAATTGCAGCCGCCGCAAATGCCTTCTTCAAGAACTTGTCCACTGCAAGTATAGTCCCAAGTGACACAATCAAATGCAGTATCCCAAAAACCTGAAAAAAAAAAAGAAAAAAAAAAGAAAAAGGGGGGCTTTTGGAATCAATTTTGTTTTTTGTTTTCACGAACAAGGAGCGAAATGAGAGGTGGACATCTTTGTTAGCAAAAATTAAGGTAAAAAAAAACGATTGATAATGGCTACGTCCATATTGATATTGCTGCCGGAGATTTTCAGTACACAGAGAAAGAGTACAACATGATCTTACACCTCTTAAAATTCATATAACTCTTCTAAACTAGGATTCATACAAGTCTAATCTTCTCAAAACCTAGCCAGAATATGCTAAAAGCAAAAAACATCGGTGGAGCGATATTAAAGAACCCATCTTAAATTCATCACCGAAACAACTATGCCAAAACAGAATAAACAACTTCAAAGGCAGAACAAAAGGATTACTCACGTTTTGAGACACCGTGGAAGTGGCACTGCCACTGCTATCTGAAGTGCTCGATTGGACTGAAATCTCACTTCTCGAGGAAATTTCTCGAGAACCCATTTGCGAAAACCCGGAACTGAATCGGAGAGACCGAGCAGCCCCATCCGATCTATTCGGGAATTCATGGCGTTTTTTAAGTGACGACCGAACCCCATTGAAAGCAACGGGCGAGGATTTTGGAAGGGACTTTGTGCCCAGACTTGAAGCTGAAGGGACACCATTTGGGAAAAGTCTGGAGCAGTGAATAATTGCTACGGAGGACGCCATGGGATTAACAACTGTGAGCAAGTGATTGAGAGAGAATCCATTTTTCTTTTTTCTTTTCTTTTTCAATGCTTTTTGTGGGGTCTAAATGTAGTATAATATTTGTATGGACATAAAACAGCGTTTGTTATCAGAGAGGATTGGATTCTTTCTCTTATAGTTGTAGTTGTTGTTATTGTCAATTTGTGAACGTGAGGAAATTTTTTAGCACTTAAATTGTTGGTTTGTTCTGTTGGAGTTTAGTGGCGGAGAAAATAAGTAACGAAATTATGAATGTGTGATGGTGACAGTTTGCGTGTGTTCCATGACTTGACTTACGAAGCTTCCCTTCCCATATTCGAATTCTTTTTCTCTCTTTTTTCAAATTTCTTTTTTAATTCAAAAGGTTTTTTTTATTATTATTACCCTGTATTTAGTCTTATTCAAAAATTACACAAAAATATGTCATCATATTGCATTTAATAGGCCAATGTATACTTTCTTTTACCGTCAGTTATGACTATGAAAATGGCTGCAATACCATGTGAGAAAAAAACAAATGAAAACAAACGTTTTTTTCTAATTTTTGGATATTTTTAGAATTTTTTTTTTTTTTTTTTTTTTCATTTTCAAGAGTATTTTGGAGAGTTCTTTAATCAAATCAGAATCGTATGTTCTTCGAGAGAATGTATGCGTTTGCCAATTAAATGCAATACAAAGATATGCCTTTTTGGACAAACCTAAAAGATACGGTAAAGAAGAATCACTTCAATCATAGAATATCACCCCTTGACCAAACTTAATATCTTTTCAGGATAAAATGACAAGTATACAATTGGTAGGATGAATATCTTTGGCTTCACACTTGACTCCTTGAAGGCATATGCCCTCGGACTTGCACTCCAGACGTCGGCCGAATGTGCGTCGGAAATGGTCTTAGAGTTTAGAATTCAAAGACTTCTGGAGTTCTCTCCGGAGGATCTTTCCGGCAGCAGATTTTGGTATCGAATGTGTAAATACCACCTTCCTGATCTTCTTGTATGGTGCAACCTGCCAACATACATAAATGGGGACTATATAATGGCTCAAAATTGCCAAAACTGATGCGGCACAACTAGCATACTGATGTATAAATATACCAATGATAAAAGAGTGAAAGTAAGGAAAGTAAACAATTGTAGAAACAAAAATTCAAAGCAGAAAACAAAACAAAACCTGTCTAGCAACATAGTCCATAACAGCTTCCTGAGAAAGCGAGCTTCCGTGTTTCCTAACCACAAAAGCCACCGGTACCTCCCCAGAATCCGCATCCTCAGCGCTGGACAAAAACAGAATGAAAAAGAAGTTGGAACCTTATTGTAAAAAAAACCAGCAAGATCTAACCACAGCTTGAATATTACTACTTCCTTGCAGTATAACCAGACATGGCATCACCAACTGATCGCATCATTGATGTTTCAAAAATGAAGGCTTGAAATTGGCAGTAAAACCACGCATTTGCTCGTGTTTACATTTGGCTTAAAAGCTGTATTTACTTGAGTCTTATCCTAAATATGCAGGGAGATTTTTAGAATCATTTTTTATCCTCTTGTTCAATCTACTGAAATCCTTTC